CTTGGGCAGAGGGTTGGACTAGAAGACCTCCAAGGTCCCTTCCAACCCTATGATTCTATGAAAAACACCTCTCTCCTCTGGTTGCTCAGCATCGTCCTATGGTTGTTTTGGCTTGGTCTGCAAGAGAGAGATGGCATCTGAATTCCACAGAGACCTCTGCCCACATGATACTTGGCTGGTACTTTGTAATTATTTGAGTTTCATATATACATGGCACTAGCATTTTTCTAAAAGACTATTAGACCTGTTTTTAAAGACCTCTTTAATGGTATTTTGAAAGAACAGTAGAGTTGTGTTTAAAAACAGGATTAGCACTCTGTGCAGAGAAGATTGATTTATACTGGAAAGAGAGCTGGGTTCTGCCAGCTATGTATTGCTGGTTCTGTCCCAAAAGAATGCCTTAACAGGTTTTCCTCTGCTTCTGCCAATGGGGCTTTACATAGTCATGTTTTCTACTGATTGGAGAGGAGGAGTACCGTTTTGTATAGTCCAAAGTAATTTGTGTACTTAAAGGAATAGTTCCAGTGCTGACAGCCATAACCACTCACTGCCACCATTCTCCTTCACTTGCAGCACTTATGGAATTGGGATATTTGGAAACTGGAGTGAAAGTGTTAAGAGTCTGTCAGTTTCCATTTCTAGCCTGATTGACAAGTCACAGGCACAGCTGAGAGGCAAGGCTGAGGCAGAAGGGAATGCCCCATTACTTCTGGGAACCCCTTCATGGTGCCTGTGGCTAGACACACTGCAGTAGAGCTGTATTCAGAAGTAACCCAAATGATAGGTTACTTACTGGCATGGAACAACTCCAAATCAGCAATCTGTCGGTCAGGCAACTTGCAAGGAAGCTAAAGTCTTTGCTCTACACACATTTAACAAAGTTTGTCTCACCACATAGTAAGGAGAGTAATTGGTGGTAGCTTTGGATGTTGTGTTGGGAGGAGAAATAAAGATTGTCCTCAGAGCAGCCGAAATTATACTAGCATACTTTTCTGCCAACTCAAGGACTGAAGGAATGTACATTAACACAACCATGAAGAAAAGCCCATATTTTTATATTTGGGAGTCACAGTTCACTCAGATTAAAACATATCCTTTGCATCTTTATAATTTTAGTTTGAAAATGAAAAATTAAGCCTAAAACTTGAAGATGAAATGCATGAAAACAATGATCTTCTAAAAGAGTAAGTAATATTAGTAAAATATGACTAAAATAAATTATTAGTAAAATAATTTTTGGAACTTAAAGCAATTATTGATTATAGCAAGTGGCAATACCTTACTGACCTTTGCTGATTTTTAAAAAAAGCTAAGTAATATAGTTAGTACTTGGATGGGAAATGTTCAGGAAATCACAGGGCTATAGTGTAGTTTAAGTAATCAGAAAAATTGCTGAGAAAAGGCAATGGCAAACCATTGCTGAATTGTTACCAAGAAAACTCATGGATGTGTCCAGGTGGCACCAGAAGTCAACCCAAGAGACTCTTTACTTGTAGCAATTATTGACATACTATCTTGCCAATTTAGACTATTTAGGTGTGATGAATCTTCTACTTGGCCAACATCTGCACCCACCCAGGAGGATGTACTTCTCTAATCACCACTGAATCACCAATGAATCTCAGAGGCTATCTTTACTCAAATGTTACTATTATTTTTAATTTTTTTTTCTTTTGCCAGAACTGAAATTTTGTATTTAGTGGGCTATTGTTTATTTTCTTAATAAGAGTTTTAATTTAATTTTAATCAATTAACAATTTAATTGTCTTAGACTTTAATTTGTTATGCATGATTCATCTAATTTTTAATGATAATTTTACAGATGTATTTTTTTTGTAAATGTACACTTTTATTTTATTTTACTTTATTTTATTTTACAGTACTTTAGTCATCACCCTGCCCTTTGTCCTCCTTGTGTCCCCAGTATGTTTACTTTCTCTGCAAGAAAAAGAAAGCTGGTGACTGCAACAGAAAAACAGCCCCTCCAATTTCAGATTAGTGTAACTCTTGCATGTGGAATGGGCTTCATTTCCCCAAAACATCAAGCATCGTAGGATCAGATAGGGCTAGAAATACTTCTTGACTGAGATGCTCTCATTCCATGCCACAGTGTTTTCTGTACTGTGGTGTGCAATCTATTTTATTGGAATCTGAGGGACATATTACTTTAGACTATGTTTAAGCAAACTGGTATTCATGTGTATGTATGTATATAGGTGTGTGCGTGTGTATGTGTGTGGGTAAGTATATCTATATCTTCTACATTTATTTATATCTAGATGATATACTACAATGCCCTAGGAGGAAATGGTATGGAACAACCTCACCACTTCCATTTTTTATAAATAGGTTTTTTATTGCTAAGCAAGCCAATTAAGGGCTTTCTCTACTTTCATCAAGCCATGGCACAAGCATGCACTGGCAATATATTCTTTTTGATGTGTCCCAATAATTTTGTCTACATCTCAACATGGCCCATGAGTGAGGTAACCTTAAGCTGACCTTAACTATTCTGGTGTTAAAGTAGCATTTTCTTCTTTATTCTGATATTACCAGGGATAGCTGGAAGTTACACTTTATCACCCTTTATTACACTTTATCGTCTTTCACTTGGACAGAAGTGAGAAAACTTGTAGTGATTGGGAAAAGAGGCAATAGAGAGTTAGATACAATTTGGTAATGAGAACAGCAAGTTTAATATCTGTAGAATTTTCTGCTGGATCAAGGATGGGTGGAGAGCATGTGCATTTCCTTTCAGCCATGGAAAAAGGTTGTATGACAGTTATATTATGAATAAACAAGCTTTCCTCCATAACAAGTATTTTGTTAGAACAACCAAACAAGCTCTAAAACTTTTGTGCCCAGCAGCGCAGAACTTTCCTTCCCCTTATTTAAGGCAATAGGTCTTTTACTTTCATTGAAATCAGCTGGGGTAACTACTACCAAAAGTTTTAAATTCCTCTGTAAAGAAATTTCTCTGTAAAGCAAGGAACTAGCAGTATAATGATAAATTATTTTCTCTCTTCAGAAACAATGCTACAAGACATTTGTGCAATTTGCTCAAAGAAAAATGTATGCAATCAGTGGAGAAATCCAACAAATGTAAATATCCTTATCAGCATTTCCTTTTTTAATACTGTAAATAATAACAAAAATTACTGCTATTTTACTCCTTTGCATGTGAACAAAAACTTGTGAGGTGGTTCTTCACAGAATGTTTTTTAACATATTCTATGATGTCATCCTTACAGTCAGAACTGCTACTTGGCTGCTCAGTTCCCCAGTCCCCAATGCCTATATAGTTTTAAGATTAAAAAGAAAAGGTGTTTTAAATTAGAATTGTTTACTTGGTTCAACATAGGTTGGGTGGGTGGATGATGTGCCATTAAGTCAGTGTTGACTGTTAGTTACCACATCAATAGATTTTCTCCAGGGGGATCTGTCCCTAGTCTCATCCTTCTGGTCTTCCAATGGTACACTCATTGCTACTATAATGGAGTGTATCCACATTGCTGCTAGTTGTCTTCTTCTTGTCTTTCCTTCCACGTTTCCCAGCATTATAGACTTCTCAAGATAGTAAGTCTTCACATAATGTGTCCTAAGTATAATTGGAGCTGGGTCATTTGTGCCTCAGGTGAGAACTCTGGGTTGATTTGTTTGATGATCCATTTGTTGTTTTCTTGGCTATCCATGGTATTCTCAGGCGTCTTCTCCAACACCAAAGTTCAAAAGTGTCAAGAACATAGGTAGGAAAGCGTTGTTTTTCTATAAAATGTATAAATAAATTGATAGGACATTCAGAAAAGCTTTATTTATTGTGATGAATTTTAAAATATTCTGTCTTGAGCACCCACCAACATTTAATCCTAATTTGAGAATAATTTGAATCATGTATTGTTATTATTATTGATATATTTTATTTGACACTGTAACATTTTTTCCCCTACCATACTATTAATTTTGTTAAAGATGAATGTGAACGAGAAGAAACCAGACAAATGTATGTGGATCTTAACAATAACGTTGAGGTAATACAGTGAAGAGAAAATATTTTAAAATAATTAAGTATTTAGACTTATAGACTCTAAATATCTGTAGCTGGACTCTGAGGCCAGTAGATGGTCCTTTAGCTAGGGATGGATGGAATATTACCCCAAAAAGCTGAAAGTGATTGGGGTGATGCATCAATACCTAACTTGATGTGGCCTTTTTTCCTTATTTTAAAAGCATTTTATAGTTAGGAGAATCTGGGTGAAAATATAGTTGACTAGTAATGCTCATTTCATTATTTTTATGTTATTATTATTATGCTATTATGTTTTATATTATTAATATTACCGTGTTACTATGTTTTATGTTATTAATATTATGTTATAGAAAGATTTTATTTATTTATTTGCTTTATATCCCACCTAACCTCTTGGTCCAAAGTCACCCATGGACTTACTTTGGCTGAACATATAATTCTCAGTCATAGACTATCTATCTATCTATCTATCTATCTATCTATCTATCTATCTATCTATCTATCAATCAATCAATCGTAATAACCATACCACACCAATTCTCAGTAAATGGCACAGGTGTTTATTCCCGTGTAAATATATTTACCATCACAGCAGCAGAAAGAAAGAACTGTCTTTAGTAACCTAGAGTGCAGGACATGAAATAATGGCTTTAAGCTACAGGAAGCTTAAGCGATGGTTCCTGCTGTTATATTAATTAACTCACAAAGATTCTATGGTATGAGTTTAAAATGCACGCATTCAAAATACTTTGTTTTATAAGCAGGGTTGGCAAAAAGTCTTTTTCACTATGTTCTAAGACATCATGAATATAACATCAATTGTAAAGCATGAAGTTGTAAGAAGAAAGAGAAGAGAAATGTTAGTTATAGGGTTAAAAATTAAAAACAGCTATTTTATAAGGTATCCAGGGTCAAAAGCTATCTAGCTATGAGAATCCTCAGTGAAGACGAAAATAATTCTGTTGCACCTGAGATTCTCTTCCTGACTGACTTTTACCCTAACCCCTATATATCACCTCTAGAATCTTTTCCTTAAACAGATGAAATCTAAAAAAAAAGTAATAATTTAAAAAATGAAGAGGAAGATGAACAGTGGCCATTCCTTAAGACGGTGAAACCATTGCAGGCAAATAGCAGGCAAACCCTTCCAGAGGGATTTGAAGACCTGGCTCTGCCATCTGGCCTTGGGTGGGGAGGGAAGACATCAGGTATGGGGTTGGCTAGCCCCTTAGAGGCCTGGCATTTGCTGCTCTGAACCATTGGCCTCCTGGACTCTTTCTTTTTTAGTAATTGTTTTGTATAGTTTTTAGGTTTTATGTAATTGTATTTTCATTTATTGTTTTAATGAGTTGTGAACTGCCCAGAGTCCTCCATTAGGGGGAGATGGGCGGGGATAAATTTAATAAACAAACAAACAAATAAATAAAACAGCAATGACTGAACATAACATTTATATCATGGGGCACTAAATATTAATGTTAACACTGAATATTTTATAAATATTCTGGAATGTTTGTTTTTACCCAGTTTTATTTACATTTTTAGAGAATGATAAAGGCCTTTGAAGAACTTCGTGTACAAGCAGAGAACTCCAGACTGGAAAAGTATTATAAATGTAAGAATATTATATCTGGCATATGTGTAATGCATAATAAACAACCACTAAACTATGTTAAGAATGACCAGTAAGATTTGGAGAATTATATAATATTACTTCTTGTTTTCTTATTTGATCCTTTACAACTGCCGTGTAAGTCATCTTGACCAATTAAAAGAGAGTTACAAAAGTATAATTTTGGTTGAGGATTTGAAATTATTGTCCCCTGTTTTGCTATGTTCTCTTTAAATATAAGCACATATGAAGCATCTAATGGACATATTTGGTTGAGACATTAATTGACATTCAAAATGGAGAACATGTAGCAAAACTTATATCTTGTATCTATCAGAGGTATCTGTTGGATTGTGTTCTTTAAGAAAAGAATCTAATCCGAGTAAGGACTAGTGAGGCAGCTGTTTGTAACTTTAACAGAAGGATGTATTACAAAGAATACATGGAGGTAGGGTAGGGTAGATAGGAGAAGCCTAGCTCTTAGATATATCTTATCAGGCAGAGAATTAGAAAGCATCTGTTAGATTGGAATCTAACCTGGGCAAGGATTAGTAAAGCAGGTTTTTTTAACTAACTAAAAGGAGATTTATTTATAGGAAGTATATTATTGAGATAAAGTCTAGCAGCTATATCCTACCAGAAGGAGAATCCAAGAGCTGCACTCTGTGCATGTCTGCCTGGAAAGAAAAGCAGAAGGAAGTGACTCACATTAGTAATCTGATAGATAAAGGCCACATCCACACTTACTGTTTAAGCTGGTCTTATCCTGTACTCATGCTGGCTTCTTAAGAAAATCCTGCCCAGACTGAAACATTTTGGCAATAGCTTGCAGGATATTCAGTTTAGACAGCAGGCTATCACATCCTTCCACTGGATAATTTCCCTGCTGCTGTTCCCTCCCATCTTTATATTCCAGGAAAAGTTAGTTAAATTGAATTTATTTATACAAAGGTGCAAAATGCAAAAACATGCAGGCTGATGCAGCTTTTGCTTTCTTGTTTTTTAAAAAAATCTTTTGCTACTGCCTGCTTCTTTCTAATGTCTTTAAGATCTATTTTTAACATGTGTATTATAATAGCACAATAGTTATATCTCTCTAATGTGACTCTGGC